ATATATATATATATATATATATATATATATATATATATATATATATATATATATATAATCCTGCATACTTCAAGGGTATCTAGGGATACTGCAGCAGCTTTGAGAATATCTAGAAAGAGATGTAACATTTTTAAGTGATTCTGTTTGACAGCAGGCAGTCTCTTTTCACATCTCCCAGCCCATGAGCACTTGTAGACTAACAACTAATTGGCTGTCGGGAAGGTTTCTGCTATAAATTCTGTTTGACTCTTGGAAGGCATACAGGACCTACATCTCAATTAGAGAGCCCAGGATGGCAGTGCTGAGTTGTGGTGGGAGGCACGCAAGCACTTCAAAAAAGGTGTGCTCTTAGCATTGCGGAAGTAAAGGACTCAAATGCACTGCATGGATTTTTTTTTTAAGTACAGAATTATAAGTAGACTATTTCAGTTGTTAAGTGAAACCCTGGAAAGTCTAAGAATTCATAAGACAAGTAGGGACATTCTACAGGCTGAAATCTCAGGCACATCCTTCCCTCAACATTGGTTTATTTCTGTAAGACTTGATTTTTCTCCTTTATCTTAATGATATACTTCTGTAGTTGTTCAGTTAGAATGTCAACCCCCCAAAAAGTGCTATTTTTTTTTAACTGAGCTACTTAAGAGTGTTAAGCTTGGGGTACTAAAAAAAATCACATTATAAAGTTATTTTTTCTGCCCACTTTCTAACACATATTGAGAAAGATTTTCTTGTAAAACACTACTTCATACCTACCCAGTTTGTAGAGAAGAATAATGAAAAAAAGAAATAGCATGTAGAATGGAGACAATTTCCATTAAAAAGCAAACTTTCAATATTTTTGAGAAAATAAGTTCATGTCTTGATTGAAATTTGAGAAGGAATAAAACTAAGGTTTAATCTGTTTGCACACACACATACTCTCTCACACACACCACACACACACAGTAATACCTGGACTTTTTAAAAAAATATTTTTGCCTAATAAGTATGCAAAGCACTGCATCACACAAAGCTTGTGACATGCTTGTTTTATTTTGCTTCATTTTCATTTATGTTTAGATTTATCTTTATTTTGAATTATGTACATGTGTGTGGGTTTACACATGAGCACAGGTGTCTGCAGGGTCTCCCAGATCTCCTGGAGTCACAGATGGTTTAGCTACCTGACTTGAGTGCTAAGAACCTAACTCAATGTCATTTCAACGGCAGTTTGCACTCTTAAAAGTGCAGCCATCACTTCAGGGCTTTGACTAAATTTTTACTGCTTTTTTTTTTTTTTTTTTTTTTAAAAAAAAAAAAAACAAAAACAGGATGGCCTTGAACTTGTAGCTTCCTCTTGTCTTGGTATCCTAAATGTTGGGACTAGAGGAAAATTGCCATCTTCTGCAACGTGTGATTAAATCACCTTTTCCAAAGTGCAGTTTATTAATTACGCCGAGCTGCGTCTCTGAGCTGTTCTGTTCATTGGAACAATCTGTGTGTATTACTACCTTCTGGGGTTCTCTTACTTGATTATTTTTCATTACATGTGTTTCCTACACACTGTTTCCACACACGACTAGAGAAGGAAGCCTTGAGGTTCTCTGGATCTCTGGGTGTTACAAGAGTGCTGCCACATAAGACAGTGTCAAGGGACTTGGAAAAAACTACTTTTCATTTAACTAAGACATCTAGCCATCACAACAGCAATAGACTCTCCGCAACCTCCATCGAGCTCAGGCCGACTTTATTAAGTGCAACTGTAACCCCAGGAGATTCTTAATTGACTTTTCATTCAGCGAAAATAATGGAAGTTATAGTTAGATGTGGAAGAGGAGAAACATTTCATCAATTAATTCATTGATTTAGTGAGATGACCTTTGGAATTCTTTGTTTGCTTTAACAAATTACTCTTGCTTTTAATCATGGCAAAATTCCTCAAAAATCCATGTGCCACAAGTCCTAGTTGTCAAAATGAAACAAGCAAACCTAATAATCTATTAAAGAGATTTCTTTAGACACCAGTTTTACAGTAGAATTTAATAAGGACACATGTAATTCACAGATTGTATTTAAGGATTAGAGATGACAAAAATGTTATTCTTTATTGAAACAAAGTTAGTCCATTTGTACAATGAAGGAATCTACATTAAATCTCCATCTCCACAAATATTTTAGACATTGAGGATATCGAAGCTGATAATATAGAAAATATTTAGAATTCCTCAAACATTTATTAAAAGGTTCAAATTGAAAAAGTAAAGCAAATAGTCTGTCCACAAATTCCTTTTATAAAAATAGCCACTGTTTTTCTCAGTTAATTTTATACATCATTTCAGGAAAGAATTTGTTTTCTGTAAGCTGCATATTTATGGTAGCTATTACACTGTAAGTAATAACCAGCTTTCCATAGATGTAGGTTTAATAGTTCTTATACTTTGTAAATCAAGCAGTAAGACATTTCAATAGCTCCAGAAAATCAAAACTTTTAAAAGAAGTGAAACTTGATTTTACCACAACATAAACTCTGGAGATGAAGAATAAAATACTTTTTTAAATTTATTTCACAACTGAGGACACTACAGTTCAGATAACTTAGGAACTCAAACAGGGCAAGAACCTGCAGGCAGGGGCTGACACAGAGGCCATAGAGGGGTGCCTCCTACTGCCTTACTCACGCTACTTTCTCATAGAATCCAGGACCACCAGCCCAGGGATGACACCATCAATAATTTGGCCTTCCCCCAAAGATCACTAGTTACAAATAAAATGCCCTACAGTCTTGCCTACAGCCCAATCTTATGAAATTTCTTATGAAATTCTTTCCTCAGCTGAGGCTCTCTCTTCTTCAGTGACACTAACTTGTATCAAGTTGACTTAAAACTAGCAGTAAAGTGTCCTTAAGGGAAAAAAAAATAATAAATAAATTACTGAGACTTAGAAGGTAAATACTTTCATTATATAAGGTTAATTTTTGAATTTTCTTGTACTAAAATGAAACAGAAAAGTATAATTGGATTTTCTATTTTCAATCTCTTTTCTCTCATGTTTTCTATGTATCTTTGACTTATTTGGAGGAATGCCCTTTTGCTACTTCTTTTATCATCTTTAAAAATTAAATGAACCTAGACTAGTGGGTGAGTAACGCATTCTGTTAGATCTTACCCTGGTGGTGTAGGCTGCCTCAGGATCATCTTCCAGTACCCTAGAAAGTCCAAAGTCAGACACTTTGCACACAAGGTTACTGTTGATTAAGATGTTTCTAGCAGCAAGATCTCTATGCACGTAGCCCATGTCAGAGAGGTACTTCATCCCTGCAGCGATGCCTCTCAGCATGCCAACAAGCTGAATCACAGTGAACTGCCCATCGTTTTTCTGCAAAGACAGTATAACATTAGGCTGATGGTTTGATTCACAGGAGGAAAAGTTGGAAAAGCCTCTTTCAATCTTCAAATTAATGTTACCACCTTTCAAAATGCAAATGCAATTTCTACTCAGGGAGAATGGAAAGCATTAGAAACCACAAAGTTACCTGATTATGTTGATCTGGTCAAATGAGGTAAAGACTGACAGTCCTTCAAAAATCTCATGCAGCACACACACACATACATACACACACACACACACACACACACACACACACACACACACCAACAGGCATTTCAGAAAGAGGACTTTAGTGGGGAAATAAAAAGGGAGAAGACAGTGTAATAGGAAGTGTAAAGGATTAAAAGTCATTACACAATGCATCCACTCCTGATGAGATCTGATAGACTAGGATCAGAAGGAAGGAGAGGAGGACCTCTCCTATTGGTGGACTTGGAGAGGGGCATGCATGGAGGAATGGGAGAGAAGGTGGGATTGGGAGGGTAGCAGGGAGAGCTTTATGGGTGGAAACAAAGTGAATAAAGTGTAATTAATAAAAATTAAAATTAAAAAAATATTTAAAAAATCAGATTATGAAAAAGTCATTACACACATATATAAAACTATTACAGAATCTAAACGAATAAATAAATAAATAATTTGATTGTGTTCGTAACATAGCTATAGACCAAAATGTACAGAATTATACAAGTATGTTAAAATATGTTGAGGATATAATTTCCTTCATAAAAAAATATATGTTCAAGGTAAAGGTACCAGTGCACTATACTTCTTCTGAAGAGTTGTATCTAATGGGAAAAAAACTTCAGGAAGAAATGTAAACAGCCTTAAACAGGCAATATATGTTATTGGTACTGTTTCAGCTTCATAGCTAATACTCAAAAAGAGTATGATGATGGGTCATCATGAAGCAATTGTTTATAGTCATGGTATCATTTTTATAAGAATTTAATATATAATCCTTAATTGTTAATTTGCCTAAACCAGAAATGTTTATAGAGAATGATATAAAGAAAACACACAAAAAAAAACAATACATTGTTCGATTGACAGTATTATTAATTTTTCTCAAATCACCATTAATTAATTTATTAGTTTACTTAAATACTTTGAGACAATGCCTTAGTGTGTATTCCCGGCTATTCTGCAATTCTCTATGTAGACCATGCTGATCTCTAACTCACAAAGATCTGTCTGCATCTACTTCAAGGTGCTGCCACTGAAGGTTTATGTGAACACACTCAGTTGTGCTCAGTTTACATTTTGTGTTCTTACAGTTCTGGAGATGGAGTGCACAAAGGATGTTAAACACTAAGCTTTCTTTCTAATAATACAGGTAATAAGTCTATATGTAAATTTTGTAAAATAGAGTGTAAAGAAGAAAAAGTTGGTCATCCACACTGCTTTGTGTTAGTCCCTAGTAATATTACTCTTACTTACTTCATTTCTTTTCTGGGTTGTTCTTTTACTACTCATGTGTCAACATATCTGCTATGTCTGCTTGCTCTGCTTAGTAATTCTAATCACGTGATATGTACAACTTTGTATGCTGTACTGTACTCCATACAGACAAACATAAAAACAGTGGATGTAATTTAAAAATTCCACGTTGTTGTGTTGTTGTCTTTTTGTACATTGTAGCTTCTTTATTCTTAGACATCAGAAGTGTTTGCTCATTATTCCAACCTACTGCCAACTTTGGCTGACACTGAGTGTATTTTGTGGTGATTTAAAAGAAGCCATCTAAACAGACATATTAGGGTAAAGGTAAAATGGCCTGAGGAAACGCAAGACTTTCTGCAAAGTGGATGGGAACAGTGATAATTACTGAGCACTGGGAAGGAAAATATCAACACTTCTTGGAAGTGTGTTGTCAAAGACATTAAAAATGATAAAGTTAAGTGAGCTCATAAAGCTTAACTAATAGCTTTAGTCACTTTGAATAAAGTAACAATGTCACTCTTAGAGACTGGAATACCTGAAAATGCAGAGAGAAAAACTGGCAAAAGGGTGGTTTATTGGTATAGATTGGAGATTAAAACTGAAACATTACACACTAGAGAAACACTACAATTATTCTTCACAGACCCCTTTCAAAGGTGTCATCAACTTCATAACAGCCACTTTCTCTTCAGAAGCAACACTCACTACACTGAACTTATCAATTTCCAGACTGTAGGTTACTCAAATGAGAATGTTACATTATTTACAGAAGATATTTACACAAGATATTTCCAAATACAGTGAGTTGTCAATATTTAAAACTATGAGGTGTGCATTAAATTGTTCTATTCACAAAACCCAGAACACTTGACTACATAAGCTATATTCTCATGGTGATAACTTTTTTGCTGATACTTAAGAGTGTGCAGATACCAATTGGGTTCCCTAGTAAGGGGAACAGGGACTGTCTCTGACATGACCTCAGTGGCTGGCTTTTTGATCACCTCACCCTGAGGGGGGAGCAGCCTTGCCAGGCCATAGGGGAAGACAATGCAGTCAGTCCTGATGAGACCTGATAGGCTAGGGTCAGATGGAAGGGGAGGAGGACCTTCCCTATCACTGGACTTTGAGAGGGACATGGGAGGAGATGAGGAAGGGAGGATGGGATGGGGAGGGAAAGAGGGAGGTGGCTACAGCTGGGATACAAAGTGAATAAACTGTAATTAATATAAAAAATTAAAATTTAATTTAAAAAGATTGTGCAAATACACACAACACATACAGGCCACACACACGTGTGTGTGTGTATATATATAAACTCACAACACACATCACACAATAACACCTACCACATACACATGCACACATACAAACTTACAACATACACACGCTAAGCATATACACCACACTCTCATATGCCACACACAGCACACTCACGCATACCTGTACATTACACATACACCACACACCATATACATACACATCACATGCCACACACACAAATACATACACCACAGCACACATGTATACATGGCAGAATATTAGGAGCAGAATTTGCTGGTAAGAAGAAAAGAACCGTTTGGACTGGAATGATGTTAAGAGAAGGTATTGGAAGTGAGTATGATTTAAAAAACATAATATACATGTATGAAACTGTCAGAGGATAAAATAAAAAATATTCCATAATTTTGGGTATTTATTCGAATAACTTTTCTTTACTGTTTCCCTTTTTCTTGTCTCTATCCTTTTCGCACCTTCATTTTCTTTCTTCCTTACCTCTCTTTTTTTTTTTTTCTTTACAGGCATCTCTATTTTCATTTTGTTTAAAATAATCCATATTCTAATAAGTACAAGAACTTGTAATTCTATTTGTATGAGTTTTCAGAGAAAACATGCGTTTCACAAGTCAGTTAATTGTGCAGGATAATGGCGTTGAATAATTTACTCTGAATCCGTTTACTACGTTAGCAGTAACGTTGCTCACTTATAATTTCAACTCACGAACAGAGTACATACGGCATTACATCGTTAAACCCGGGCTGGCCCTTACCTTTAGAAATGTGTCTAGGGAGCCATTCTCCATATACTCTGTCACTATCATCACGGGTTTGCCTGGAAGAAAAGAGGGGTACAAAGTGGCCTCAGAGGGTGCTACGCTCTTGGATTAATTTTTACTTTTTTTTTTT